CCGAGGGATCAGGACGCCAATGAACGCTTTACCGCCGTTCGATAACAATGGCTCACTGTGCGTGAAACTGGCCGGTCAAAGTGAAGCCACTGTTTCATCCCGGGACCCGTTTCTCCCTCGAGTGAACATTAAACGTCCGGTTATTGGTGAACGACGTCCGCCAACGGAGTCTCCGAGATACCATTAATCATTACCCGAGTCGACCTCCCGTGGCAGTTTTTATCGGCCATTGGTAGAGCATCGTTTTTCCATGGGAATGGCTTCGGTTGTTCGAATTTAAATTTATGATAAATCCGGTTGAATTCCTAGGACGAACGCGTACGCGTGACAGGAACGGAGGAATTAGCATAAGGTTGAACCGCGACAGGCGTTTATTCTCTTTCAATTCGTCCGGCAGGGAGCGGAAGCGCCAAGGAAACGGGGATAGAAAGAGAGCAAAGGTGGAGGAGAGAATGCATTTATGCAGGCTGTTCGGTATGCGATGCGTTCCCGTACAGATTCCAGATACGGGTCCTTTTGTCAACGTTCGGCTCTCGTTATCGGTGCCGATGAATTTCGATCTTTCCACCGGGGTAAACGTCTTTCACGCACCGCGCTATCATCGACGAACCGCGGTCATTGAGCCTCATCCTCCCCTCGGGGTTTGCCCACGAATTAACATACTTTACGATGCGTCATGCGTTCGAAATATTTATGAAAATCGATTAAGAACGAAGATAGCGTGCAAGCGTCGTCGTGGAAACGAAAATTTATCCAAACGCGAGACGAGCGACTTCGAACGGGTACAATGAGATTCCGTGTTAACCCTCTCTAAATTACGCTTAGCATCCGGAGGAAGAAAGTTCCGCGAGGAGAATGAATGTTGGAAAGTGTATCGAAGATAACGAAACATCTGTTGGTACAGGTTCTATACGCGTCGATCTTTCTTAGAAAGTGACGGCCGATCGTGTGGCTACGAACCGGTGATGGTTTTACCGAGAGCGGCGCCGTACTGAAATCAATGGATCAGGACCACCAGCCGCGAGAGAAGCGCGAGTTTTGCCGAGTATCGACCTATCGACCTCCTCGCCTTGACGTCCTGTCTCTCGATTATACTTTGCTTCGACTCTCGTCGAGCTACACATCTGGGTTTCGTCGGCCACGTAACCGGCCGAGCCACGATTTTAGCGTCTTTAACGATGTACTCGGATCATCGACCGATCCTCGTTCATTTGTCAATGAATCGGCAATCGTGATTAATTACCGAACCCTTTGAAATTCAATATTATCATCGTCGAGACGAACTTTCGTTAGATATTTTTCGTGGGAATCGAGCGTTCTGCACTTGTTTGACTAATGAAGTCTCCCCCTTCGATAATCTGCCGGTGCATTAGAGGGTGGGAACGTGTCACGAGGGAACGGAAGTCGCGGGTGCAGCCGTTTCCGCAGTGACAGATGCAATCTCGCACTTGGTCCGTGCCTCGGCTCCTCTACCTACTATGTCTCCGGGATATTTAAAAGGGTACCACTGTCAACAGTAAGGAATTACTGTTGATCGAATGCACGGAAATGAGGACAAAAAAGGCGATGGATGATGTCGCGGGACGGGGTTGGAGAGATTAAGGGGCGGTAAAAAAGGGAAGAGAAAACAGACGTAATAGAGTAAGCGGTGAATGGAGGCTGTAAAACGATTGGGCTTCGACAATATTTGACCGAGTCTGTGAATGGGACTCCAGAAGTGGCTGGTCCCAACGTAAAATAATATTTAAGACAAACATCGCGGGGAAAATTCGGGAAGTCTATCTCATTTTGACTTCTGGGTCCATTTTTTATATTATCTCTATGTGGGAAATCTTTGGATCAATGGTTTTTATTTTTTCCAAAATCTACAATATTTTTAACTAAGACTTATAAAATTATGATCTGAAACTTAAATACTGAGAACCGAAATCCAATGTTAAGTATGTATCTTGAAAATTATGATAATTTATATTTACAACACGATCCTACTTAACGAGTAAAACGATAACCAATGGAAGTCCCCGACTTATCGATACTCTGGTGTGTTTATAACGGGCCACCTTGAAGAAGAGTGTTTGCGGAAGGGGGTCGCTTTTTTGTGGGGTGTCGTTTCCAAGTGGTCGACATAGGCTGCACTTGGGTGCAGCGAGCGAGAGCGGTTCCCACAGCTCGTTCGTGTGAAAACGTTCGGGAAAGTGGACGCGACAAGTGCATCAGCAGCCGTCTCTGCAGGATGCATCGGAAGTGCATCGTCCAGGGAAAAGCAACGATCCTCGTTGCTCCCGTGTCCGTAGCGATCAGATGAGTTTGCCAAGGTGTACGAGCTTCGTGATTACGCAAACTAGCTCGTTCTCATCCGCTTGTTGCGCTGTTTTATCTGAATCGTTTCGATGCACTTGGACGCGGTGCATCGTGAATATTGCACCGAGACACGGCTATCATACTTAGTCCTGTCGAAGCAATAAATTCGATATAAATAGAGGTGCAACGTCTGGTTGGATTCTGTAAGGTTCTAAATGATACTACGTGTAAATTATGGACATTCCGCTTTACACCTGGACGACACTTTTAGATTATTTGGCATTACATTATCGATATCGGTTATTGGGAGATATTTACAGGCGTTTACGGGACCTGGTGTATCATGAATAATTCAACCCCGATTAATTGTAATTCAAAAGGGATACGGTTCACGTGAAATCGTGCTCGTCCACGGGATACTGTTACCCTTATTATCGCGACATTAGGCACCGCTTGCCCTGTTCTTCGCGCATCGGATCATCCGCTCACGATGCTGATTACTTTATTCGTCGCGTCTTAATAAGCTTGAAACTCGTCCGATCTCTCCAACGGGTGTCGTTGTAACAAGCATCGCCGCAGTTTCGTCGATTTCATGCCTCGTCGATTCTGGTCATTCCGCTAATCGAGATTCGATCTCCCCTCGTAACGAATGGTCAGAAATAGATTATCCCCTCGTAAGAAATAGATTATCTTTGATACCATTTTCCTTCTTACAAAATTTATTTCGACAAGCTTTTCATGCAAACGATGGAGTAACCTGTTGTCCAGCGACCCGAAGAGGTCACGAACGATTTGAAATCCCCGAGGCAACCACTTTGAACCCTTTCGTTTCTCCCTGTTTGTCAGCGTGGCCCGGGAACGAACGATCGGCGTGGCTAAAACGCAAAGCCGAACATAAAACCGCAGATAAGAGCCACCGTGTGTAACGCGTGAAGGAGAAGGAAGGAGTTCGCGAAAGGATTGAAGGAAGACGGAAAAGCGAGCGTGGACAGAGGGTAAGAAAGAGAGGCGGCCGTGCCGAGGCTGAATTACGAGCGGCCGACGGGCATTAACATTTTTGCTGGACGCGCAACAAATTAAAGCAATCTGGTTCGCTCGTGTCCCTCGTCTCTTACGCTCTCGGCTGCCTGACTGCCGTTTGTTCTTTCTCTTTGCTCTCCCGTTTTATTTTTTTTATTTCTCTTTCCGCGTCCTTCTTCTTTTGCATACGATTTAACCGTGCCCGCTGTTCCACCCTCGTCCTGCTCTTGATACACGACGACGAGTAGCCGCGTTACGTGCTTCTGCTTACCAGCCAGCTTCTTCGAGAATTTTTACCTTGTACTAGCTATTTCTTCGAACGTGTTCCATAGTAGAAGGTGGACGAACGGCGGGGAAATTCAAGGTAATTCGCGGGAAAATATTGTAAACTTGTCGCAAATTGCTCGGAGAATAATCAGGTACCGAGAGGAAACGAAGAGAAAAATGTAACACAGTACGCGTCGAAAGGCGAATTACGCGGATAAATTATATATCGGCAGCAGGATGAATAGCCGGTTTACCAAACTGCATTTACATACTGGGGCTACGTACGTACCGGCCACTGTAACAGGAGCGAAGGATCTCCCCTGAGGAAAAAGTGGAGGCGAGGCAAAGTAGAGCGAACCGAGGTAAAACGAACGAGAAACTCGAGGGGATGGGGATGTGGTATATCGGTCTGTCGCCTCTGTAAATCCTTGCTGCCCGGTAACGCCGCCACCGTCGTGCTGCATCCTTATCATCGTCAGGGCCGCAGGACTAGCTAGAGGATTCCAGGAAAGCGACTTTACTTTCGCATTTCTACTTAATACTAACATAAAGTTTCAAATGCAATTTCTATGTCAATTTTCAGAATATCCCCCTCGAATGATTAATTAAAGGAAAATATTGTCCTTTGGATTAGAATAATTTTCAGATTCTCGCACACCTCTAATTAGAATGCTTTTGCTTTTGATATTTTATTAATCTGAGTCAACGATGATTGCGGTAGATTCGAATGAATTCAAAGGTGTTATTTAAGAAAGGGAACACTGGAGGAGCGAGAGTAAGGATGCATCCCTGGTTGGCGGGAGCACAGTACCGGACCACTGCGGTCGTCTCCGTGTATCGTTTGATCTCGTTAATAGGACCGCATTGTCCTGAATCTACATACTCCTCTACGTACCCTTTCTCCGGTGTGCACTTCGTCGTGCTCGCAGAAAAAAAACGAAACGAAGACCCCGAGGAAACGAAGGGAGAAGAAAAGGAGAAGAAGAATGGGGTATGTGCACGCGTGTACGTTCGTCGGAAATATTTCGATAATTTATTTGTATATAAAATTATTTCTTCGATTCTATGAAAATTGAAATCTATTTCAATGTTTCAATCAACTTATGAGATATCTTCGTGAGTCTTTGAATTATTTTCAAATAATTCACGGTCGACATAGATTTCATTCGGAGACAAGGTTACGAAGACTGTTAAATTATAGACAGAAGGAAAAGAAATTGCATTTCCTAACCATACTCGAAACCAGTTTAACTCGCTCGTTTCGCCTCGGTTCGAAAGACAACGTGTCGGTTGAGAGAGAAAATAAAATACTTTCAATTACCAGTTACTGTAACGCGAGGGTATCGTTTAAAGATCGAACAGCCTCCCAGAAGAAAATCCTTATAAGAAAATCCATGCGTGCTGCTCCTTACCATACGCGCCTTTCTCAGTCTTCCTCTTCTTTCATTCTCCTCTTTCTTTATCCCCGCATGCAACCTCGAGGTCTGTTACAACTCACGGACTGCACTCATCATCCTATTGTTCTCTAATGAATCCGTAGATGCTGACGGAAGCGCCCCTGCCCACAAGATGCATGGGACAGGTTGCGTCTCGGAGCCTCATCCTCCTCGTTTCTTTCCACCGTCGTTTCCCTCAAACCTCCCCACTGCCGTGCCCGGCCGCGATTCCCGGCCTGTAAACGAGGAAAAAAAAAAAAAAACTTATTTAGGCATAACGAGTCGGGACTCTAACTCTCCGGGCCTTTGTGAAATCACTCAGCCGCACTACATCACCGCGCCAGGAATTGTGGCTAAGAGAAACGACTGCCCACCTTGCTTTCGTTAGAACGAAGAATGGTGTATGACGATGATGAAGCACGATATCGCGTCCCGTCATCTGTGCTTGTCAACGTGGAGAATGTTTTTCGAATGCTAGGAAGACGCTCGGTTCACCCGGGGTTAAATACTACTTTCAGAACGACGAGAATTTTCTTCGAGAGAAGAAAAATTGCTTTGAGGAATTTCATTTGCAAAATGTTCACTCGGATCTTTTTAGAAATTTCCATTTTTTCGACTTATTTGCTACTTTGTATTGAAATTCATTAGGGGTGCGTGAGTGCCCCAAAATTCGGGTCGGGAATTTTTATTGGGTTCTGCCAGGACTCCGAAAGTTTGTCCAGCAATTAAAATTTTTGGGTACCTGAAAATCTTCCTCGAATCTTTTCTCGACATTTCTCTTTCTGTTCGATCGCGTCCGGATATCGGGTAACCGTGTCCACGTGTCACGATTCAGTTTCCCATACTTTTCCCAGCCAGCTAGAATCCATTATTTACACGTATCAATACGAATTTACCTGCACGGGAATGTTCGATCTTGATCGGAGGAGCGGAGGCTGAATGATGGTGGCAGCGAGCGACAATACCGTATATCTGTCGCGGTCGTTTTATGGAAATCCGTTCGGCGGTCTCGTCTCGATACAATGATCGGTGCTTTCGATACGATCGACCGTAGCACCTGTGCCCTACGTGTCGTTGCCGCCGTCGTTGGCCTCGTGTGCGAGCGCAGACGAAGGATCCGCGGGTCACTGGCCGGACTGCTCCTTTAAATATGGAAGAATCGAGGGAGATCACGATAAGGAGGGTCAGAAGCGGGTTACGAACCAGAATTTCGTTGTCATGTAAATGACCGTCTCTACGCGGTCTCTCCGGTTCTCTAACTAACCCGAGAGCCCGGTGAATTCAATCTCGTACACGATTGGAGAAACATCGTGAACGCCCGCGTCCTACGGGAATGCGCCTGTGATATCTTCTCAATGGTGTATCAAATAATGATGTCCCTCTCTCTAACGAAGGTATTGTTCGTTTTCAACGGAACACGAACTTTCTTTTTCCTTTCATTGTCGCTGGCCTCGTTCAAATATATCCACCATGAAAATTATATGAAACATAGAAGATCGTGTATTTCAGAAAATCAACATCCTAACCGAGCAATTTCACTGTTATGTCAGTTTTACGATCGAACTGGGACCTGGTTCATGAATCGAAAGTCTCAATACACGTTCGTACAACGCCCGAACGATCAAATATATTTCACGGTCGCCCTCCTTGCGAGAAAGCACGGAAACAATGAACGCGTAGAAAGAGTACGAACGAATAGTTTCCCGTAAGATAAACAACCATGGACGGTGAAACGATCACGGACCACCATCGTGTCCCCATAAAGACGCTGTGCCAGCCGTGGCGGCAGGAAATCGAACGTCGATTTCCCTTTTAATCCGAGGGTCCGAACGCGTGATAGCTCGCACGCGTCGCCTTCTCGTTCGACGTCGGCGTGTCCCTATAAAACGCACGTTTTGTGCCCGGTTTTCTGACCGTAAAGGACCGTTTTGGTGGTCCGAGGCGTGGCTCTTGATCCGCCTAGGTGGCCCGGCAGTAACTTACGCCTGGCCATCACCAGACCTATCCGAATAACGCCGCGCTATCTTAAATATCCAGCAATTTATTGCGTTTACACGGATTATCTCGCCGCGGGTTTACGGCTGGTAGTTACTTAATCACTTTAGGCACCGTCGGTCCCACACAAACGTATCCGCCTAACTGTACGTGTTTCTCGAAAGGGTGAAACGTAAGAGAAATTTCGTACGATCTTAACCGGGGAACAGCGAAACGAAAATATTAAGCATTCTATTCTGACACATTAATTATTTAGCGAAATATAGCTGTTATAATTCTATCGAATGATTCCAAGTTCCCAGGAATGTTCCTCCTTTCTATTACCTTGTGATCTCTTTACTTTACTGTTTTTGCAACGATCTTAAATCTACCTGTAATTTCACAGCGATGTTAGAAAGTTAAGGGATTGGTGAACAGTAACAAAAAGCAGGTTAATTAGGTACCAGGTGGAAATATCGTTAAGCTTTTTCAGCGTTACTCGCTGGTATGATTACACCTTTGAATCTGGTACCCCAGTTTGGGTAATACAAATGTTAAATCGTGATCGATTCTATCGAGAGTATTGCTCCAACGTCAATGATCGCTAATATTTAAAGAAAAAAATAATGAAGGTAAAAATTTTTCTCTGCTAAGGATCCGCAACTAATTTCCTCGGAGGAGGACAGAATTCGTTCGCTGAAATTGACAATTTCACGTCAGCTCCACGATGTCTGGCCGCGGTCTCCGACGCCCACGCGGAGCGGAGAGGAGTTTACAGGTGCGGCTGGCAACCTGTATCTTCGAGCGCGCGTGTCGCACGCACACGCATTCTGAAGCGTGCGACGCGTGATATACGCGGCCCTCGTCCGTCTCGTTACGAGAAGTCGGCTGGGTCGTTTTGGTCGCGTCATCGCGACGAATTCTTTCCTCCCTCTTTTCCTGCACCGCGATAAAAACATTCTTGGAAAAAGATGAATTTCTTTCGGGGAATTCGTTGAACAAAACGTGCTGTCACGAACGAATTTTCATGGGTTTTTGAGAATCCGCTTTCACTTAGTATGCTGTTGCATCACTGAATTAAGTTGCTGTACGAGATTCTTTTTACCCGATGGAATAAGAATTCTAGTGGGTGCTTTAAATATTAATAAATTTATTTAAATGAACGCGGTACCTGCTGTCTCAGTCAACGGGTTAAGGACACGCGCGTACTTATCGGAAGAACGAGCCGCGGAAAGCACGCTTTCGCAAGCGTTCAGCTCGATCCGACGATGATTCAGCCGCGTTTCTCTGGTCTCGCAACGCGTGCACATTCTCCGGCGCAGAAATGCGTCGATCTCGATCCTCTCCAGAAACGTTTCTTCGATTCCGACCGAGCCGTAAATTACTTGAAATAACGATGTCAGTTCGATAATGAACGTAAAGTGCATCGAATCTGGATAAAGAGAATCCTTAAAGAGAATATCCGCCACGTTATGGTACATTACACAATTGCTCGAGCCTGTATGAAACTTATAATTCGAGAAACATTTATACGGATCTGTAATTGACCAGAAGATCATCGCGATGATTAAGACAAAGCAGTCGAAAGTTCTACGATCGCTTCATTACAGGAATATTTTCCACTGATGGTTTGTAACGCGTTGAAAGAGATAATGGAAACCATAAGTAAAAATTTCAGCTTTTTACATAAAAACAAAAAAACATGTAAGTCGCGTTGAAAATTATGCGACTTCGAGTCAGGTACTCGGTAAAATTGGCAAGCGCCAATTTTATTGGCAATTTGTCCAACCGATCGAATTTATCGCGTCAACCTTATCTCTACCTCTTCTCCCCGCGTTACTGTATTTCTCAATTAACACCATCCAGCCTCCATTTAGCGCAATCTTGTCCGCGAAGTGTTTTCGTGACTCCCCAATGTCCGTCGTATTTCAGCGTCGACGATCCGGTTTTTTATGAAAAGTGGTCTTGCACAATTAAAAATATGAACTGATGCGAAATCATAATAGAAATTCATGGAGATTTCGGGGAGAATTCATTTTGGGGTGTAATTACTTAAAATTACTCGACTTCCAATCCACTCCTTTAATTAAAATTTGAATTAGTCACCTCTGAAACAGGAATTTATTCCCACGTATGTCAATGCTCTTGTTCCACGTGTTCCATTCGATCAGAAATCGTTAAGAACGTTCTGAGAATCCAGTCGCGCCTCCCAGAACCGATATCCTCGTCCAAACAACCACTCGATCTTTCCCTAAACACTCGTTCTTCACACTTCTTCGGCCAATCGCCAGCGCTTACACACACGAGAAAAGTTTACTTGAACGCGCACGTAACGCGTCCGAAGTTTATTCACCCGTATTCCCGGCAAAAACTATCGCGCACCGTAACGTCGCGCTAAATGATCGCGCCGCGTGTTCATTATCAATTACTCGTGCACCGTGGAGTCGCCGGCGAGACATTAGACCCGGTGTCCACGATTTCACGACACGTGGGAACGTGTACAGTCGGACGTGTACCGGTCTTAAAATCGGACACAATGCGCGTCAATGGATCGACGAGTGGTGGAGAGTAGAGGAGAGACGAGACGCATCGCTCGGGGACTTGCACACAATGCCACTCGAGCGGTAATTTGTCCGAGATGGGTCATTACGAACTTAAAAGTCCCTCACCTTTCCCCCGACGGGTCCTCGTGGTTCGCGGGACACAGGAACACGGCATCCCGCGAGAAAGCGAGACCCGCTGACCTCATCGTGAACCGCGGCCGTCAAAACAGTCGTACGCCTCGGACCCCGACCCTCTTCGCATCTGGTAATTTCGGCACGGGGCAAAAAAGCAAAAAGAAGCGGATGTAAAACGCGTCGGAGAGAAGAGTGGCACGGTAGATGGGTATACGCTCCCATCCGCAAGACACCTTACCATTTTAACTCCCGAATATGACAAACTGAAAGGAAATGGAACGAGATACAATTCTTTTTTTTTTCTTTTCAACTTGACCGGAATCGAGGCGTCGGGTTGCGAGAATTACGACGCCGGGTGTCTCCGATAATCCTGGTTTATATGCCTCCGTCGCATCGGGCCAACCAGGATTCCTCTCACTACCTTTACGTCTGTTCCCTGAACGCGAAGCAGATTCAAGCCGGTAGGCTCGTCGTCCTCGGAAGCCGAGGTACGTGCTGGTGCACAGAGAAGACTCGTCAGACCCCGCCATGGAACGAGTTTCAGCAGGTTGAGACGCGGCCAGGCGGTTCGTGCGCCCACGCCGTGCAGGTATTGTGCAGGTACCATCGAGAGGGTACCTCCTCTTCGCCCTTCTTCCTCTTCCTGCGAGGCTGCTACGCGATTTTACTCCGACAGCCTGGGCTTCATTGTTTCACCGCGATATCCTGTCATCTCGACGCGCTTGGCACGCTGATCGCTTCTCCTCCTGATGCTGGTTTGCGGCTTCCGTTTACTGCAAAATTGCTGGTCCTGATATATACTGTGTTATTGAGCGTACGAACTAATTCGGTGCCTTTATATTGCGAATTTTTAATTAAAAAGAATGAAAAGGCACAGGATTCATTTGTACATCCAATGTAATATTTCACCCTCGGACGGCGGACCAGGAAGAGAGTCTCAATCTTAATTTGACAACGAGGAACGAAGAAGTTTTTCATCGATAGTTGATAGAGAATGTTTAGATACCTTTTTCACACTCGTTATACAAGCATTCTTTTGATGATACTCACACTGTTAACAATGATAATTTCCCCGTTTCAATATCTGACACTGGCACCTGACGCGTTGATTATACAAACGTCGCGATAGACGTACCGACCACTTGTCGCTATCGTTCAATCATGATTCAGAATGCAAACATTTCGGTTCACGCATCTCGACAAACATATTTTTCTCCTTTCGAGGCATAGAACTCGTATCCCGTCACTAATCTTTCACAAATACTTCGTATTTTCATGCAAAGTTCAATTGAGTCATCTCCTCGACGATGAATCACTCTCTCTCTCTCTCTGTCGTAGAAGCAAGCAAACGAATGAAGAAGAAAAATTTCGTAAATTATTCGAGTCATTTATTCCTGAAGATCGTTCCCTCGGATGAATTTCCAAGAAATCTTTTCGCCACGTCGAGAGGCTCAAGATCGATGGGTACTCTCTCGATATCGATCAAAGGAGACGGTAAAAACGCGGACGTTTCAATCGATTAACTCGTCGAACGCTTCACGATCCTCGACAATTACTCGTCTCATTACGTTGTAATTAATGCCACGGCATCGATTCGTCGGTTCATTAATGCTGTTTACGAGGGACTCATTATATTTGAATATTATTGAATAACGCTCGTTAAAGGAAGACGAGCCAGCGCGATGCGTAATCGTACGCTTTACGTGGCCACGTCCGCGGCGATCGCTCCGCGTACGATGCTCGAGGGCAGCGAGCGTTCGCGCGTGTGCGAAACACGACAGGTTGATGCAGACGTACGATGTAACGTGTTTCGACATTAATATATTTCCTTTAATAAGACGAACCTCGGCTACACCTCTCGCTTCCTGCCATTCAATGGAAAAACAGTTTCCCTCTCCTTTTCCGCGAGGAAATTTTCCGTCCGAGAAACCGTCCGAATTTGGTCAGCTTCGCGGAGTTCAGGGTCGTTAAACTTCGCTCGATGAGAAGCGTTTTCAAGGCTCTTCGAACGATGAATATTCCGTACCCTCTGTTGCAAATTTCTCAATTCAAGCGTATTCGAGGGCGATCGAAGGATGAAAATAAATTCCCTTTAATTAGAATGATTGCCGGACAGATTTAATTTAGAAACACACCCTCGAACACTTTCGACCGCGAAGGAAGATTTACATTGGAGGCGAACTTTTTGCTTATCCACGAGCGCATCGTGGCCAATTACCGAAGCCGCCAGCTTCCACCATTGGCCGGTTCGTTTAAGAAGATAATAAGTATTGCGAAAGGCAACGATGACTAATGCAAAAGGAACCGAGAGAACGAGCGGATAAGCCGGAGATGGTCAGAAGAGAGACAGGAACGATGGTGGAACACATCCAAGTTTTCTTTCCTCCTCTTTCTCTTTTTCTTCCATCGTCCCTTTTGACCATCTACTCCCACTACTCTTGGGCACATTCCCTACGACCCTCCCCCGGAGGATCCAACAGGTGGTGCGTTACCTCGTGCTCCTTCTATGATGTCCCACACGTCGTGCCCACGTAATCGCGTGCGTATGGGTGTACCCCATAGGCACCGCGTGTAGGAAGTACCCTGACCCTTCATCCGCTTCATCGTCTCTCCATATGTGCTCGTTCGTGATCTTCGAACCTTTAACGTTCCGTAAAAACTTTCTTCAGACAGCAGTTCAAGTTATGGGTTGAACTTTACTTTGGGCAGAATTTTGTTACATATAATTTTTCTTGTCGAATACTATCGGAATATAAAATCGATGATTTCATGTGCCCTAAAGTTAAGTACAAGGAAGTGATTGTTGAGATGGGAATGAAAATTAAAACGAGAGAGAAAGAGGTGAATGAATTCCTGGCCGTGAGAAAGGAAACAGGAATTCTCGTTTCGTCTCGAATTTGGCGTAAAACGACGCCCACCTCGCGGCACCTGCCAGCCATTCGAATCGCCAAACATCCGTTCCATTCTACGAATTCATCGTACTCTTTACCCACACGGGACACGTCTCACGAACATCGGAGGCTAATTTCTCGAAGGAGAGTAGAGATCATGGCCGAGGATGATCCTCGGATTTACATACCCGATACTGCACGAGTTGATCACCGTTCGCCTGTCTCTTTTGACTTATTTTTCGCCGTAGGTGCTCGAGCGGTGGGCGTTCGTATAAATATTGTTATTTCCAAGAGCGTCCGGCAACGTTTCAATTAAAAAGCAGCCGTGTATCTTGTTCAACAACCGTGTACGATCGTGTATCGATGTACGAAAATATTCGATCAATGAACAGATCCGTTGATACATGATTCTCGGATTCAGCCTCGTCGCACGAGTTGCACAGTTCACGCACACGTGTTTCAGGATTGAATGAACGACAAGGGATTCTCTTTTCGTGGCTGCTTCCTGTTCCGGTGCTCGACGACAGGTCAGGTGTCGCTGATCTTAATCCCGATTGATGCCTGGGTGGTAACAGGATGCGATCTTCGTCTCAAGGCACAAAAGTATCTAAAAATTTACGAGGACAATGGATCAAATGATTTTCACTGGCACGCATTATCCGTGATAACTGTTTATAAAGAAATATCTCTGCACGATCTCTCGATCCGAAATCTACAAAAACAGGTTAGTCGCACGGCATTGGACGAGATGGATCGTTCTTCCCAGGCGATCCACTTTCTTTGTGCGACCGGGTCATAGATCACACCACCGAAATTCCTCTTCAGCTTCTAATGACCGCGAAGAGCCGCGGAGGAACGTGCTCGCTGGACGGATAAACACGACGACAGGTTTCATTGTCCCGTGGTGGAAGTATTATTTCGTGTCTCGAACAAAGCTGTCCAGGTGAATCTATAAAATACGATCGGAGATGGGAAAAAAGAAGGGAAAAAAGAAGCTCGAATGATCACGAACACAGGGAAGCAAGAAAGAACGAGAACAGCTCCTTTTTCTTACCTTCGGGGAACAGCTGAGAATCTTCGGACATTTTGGGGGATTTTAATTTTTAACTACTTACAAATCAATTTTATCATATTTCTCAAGTTTTCCACCACGGTGCCCCCCCCTATTTGTAGACATCGTTTTCGATAGGAATTCGAGGCGTCGATATAAATTGATTATCCGTAGATATACCGTGATGTATCGTGACGGGGTCTGGTTCGTGACAGGTGGGAGGACCGATTTCGAATTCCTCTTCTTGTCTCCGTGATATCTACGCGCACACAGCCGCGTTCGCGAGCGTGTACGAGACGGAGATGGAGGAAGCAAGAGGAAAGGAGAAGGTGGTCCGACGAAAAGTCGCCCACGACAGATCGGGAACAGATCTCCGATCCGATTTGGAACGCCACGAATCCGGTCGACCGTGTATATACGACAATGTGAAACGTTTCGTGGCCGACCTGGTAAGTTTCGTTGTTTCATTGACACGCGAGAGATACACGACCCCCGTAGAAATACCACTGGCCGGGCAAAGGAAAAAGCCACGGTGTACCCGGCCGTCTAGGACCGTTAGGATCTTCCATCGGGGCAATTAATAACTGACAACAGATTCTTTTTTGTCATTTACATGAGGTAATTAATTTCTCGTCATATCCTCTAATGACCCATTGATTCGGTGCCCCTTCGAAGGGCTGCCTAATTTCGTGCTGCTCGACTCGCGGTGCCACTTTATCATACGCGCGCGACGACACTGCCGGGTCGAAGAGGTCGGAAGACGATTATTGCGCGATCCGAGACATCGATCCATCGGCAGGATTTATGATCGTCCAGCTGCTGATCCTCCGTTGCCTCTTCTTGTACGAGGTTCGTTCGTGATTGGACTTTTTGGAAATTTTGGATATTTCAGGTTGAAAATTTTAAATCTCTTAATCAAAAATATTGATTAATAGCGATATGATTTTTTGTTGTAACACCTTCCGTGGGCGCATCGACCTACGGCGGCTCTTCCTTCCCCTCCTCCTCCACCCTTCAGCGTTCAACCG